CCTTTCTAGGTCATGTTCTTTTTCCCTAGGCAAGTTGCAAAAGTTCATCAATATGTTAATTACTAAATCATTAAACACTTAAAAGAACCTTTAACTTACATTGATTTTAGGACTCGTAACCGACTTTTCTCTTCAACTTTAAGCTACTCCAAACAAATGATACACAAACTTAAAACCTTGGTCAGGTGGCATATTCAGTAACAGGGCCTTTTCATTTTCTATGATGTTGGCTTTAATTCAGTCAGTTTAACTCTGTTGTGCTACAGGACGTAATTATTTCATATTCATCCTTGGAGCAGCTGTTGTGGAATGTCCTAAGTATAAAACATTCCCCCGGATCTAATGAACAAATTCCAGCATCAGCCTATTCACCAAGACAATATGACACTGGAAGTATTATCCTATATACATTCTGACCTAATGAATAATGAAAATTAGACACGGGATTAGAAAGCTTAATATTTTGAAGGTAGAATCTTCTGTCAAGTTCAGACACGGTAGGAAATTCGTGAGCACAAGCTCTTCCCAGGGAAGTATGCAGGCATCTACACTAGGTGGCATTACTGAAAGAAATATAATCTAAACGAAAGAAGCTGGAAAAGAAGCACCAAGGGCAGAACGCCTCTAAAAACGAGCAGCGTCTTCTCCCCTCCTCGCCGGTGCTAGTGAAAAAAGTTTATTTGTCCTTACTTTGCAGTATTGGTAGTATCATTGCACTGTGACTGATTCACTAATATCCTTTCAGCAGTCCAGTGCTGCTGAACTAGTGATAGGATTGAGGATTTCTACGAAGCAGGTAGCGACTCAAATTTTGCTCTCTCTTCGAATAGTCTTCACCTGTCACATCTGAGGCACAATCCAAATCTATTTGCGCATTTCTAAAATGTAATTTTATTCTACTGTTGGGCCTTTGAAAATGTAACTGTGCTTAATATTTCTTTAATTTTTTTTTTTTTTCACAGCTCTGGCTAATCTTGTGTCATTGCACGCTTCTCATTTTCAAGTCTGAAATATGAGAAAAACAAGTTACTCGATGTGTTCCACAAATCATCCATGCTACTCACTTTTGAGGGAACATTTTTGAAGACTAATGGGAATAAAACAAAAAAGTTTTGCATCTATCTGCTGGGCAAATATTCCAGTAAATCATCCTTTTGTAAATACATGTATCCATCCATACTTACAGAAGAGAAAGCTGGTTCATTCGTCTTATTAGGGCATTCTTCTTATTAACCAGCATGAACCATTCCTGCATCATAGCTTCTTCTTCTTCTGTGTTTCTTCCTGCAATTGAAAGAATTTCATTACTTACCTGGCATTTTACAAACTGAGCTACATATTTCATTTCGGGTTTTGGAGTATCGGTCTCTGATATCATTGAGCATTACAAGGCGTACTCTCAAATGGCAAAAATATCATATGACTACAAGTCCTGCTGCCCAATCCTGCTTGCTCCGTGACTAAATCTTTGAAAGCAGCCACTCTTCAGCATGTACTTTAGTGTTCTTTATCATGCTGATACCCTGACCTAAATAAACACCTTTTAAAAAGTACTGTATCTTTTAAATTCTCCCGAAAGAACTATATTGTTGTGATGTTCCCAATGAAAAAAACCTTGCTGCTAAAAGATGTCTGGTCATCACAATCTTCCAAACACAAAAACAATCCTTGTGGGCAAGAGCCACTCCACCCATACAAACCCAGCGCAGTCAGGATGACGTGGTAGGGATCAAAGTAGCTGCAGAGCAGATGGTAATCCTGAACCCTTGGCCGAGGCGCAGGCACCTGCTCAGCTTCTCTGTACTTATGTCTACTCTTCCAGACGATGAGCTGGAAGGAGCTGCTCCTCTCTTCACCCGCAATCAAAGGGAACCCAAATACAAATAATTCTGGGGTCCAGGTGCCTAAGGGTCCCCATGTGTGTATGCATGGACTAGCATTCCTTTCCCCAGCCCACATCCATCATTGCCTTCCAGCCAGGATCAGGACCCTCCATAGCCTACCTGCAGGCAGTACTACACTCTACCAGACTCTATAAGACTCTATGTTACCACCTCTGTCTGCACCATCAGGCCATGTGGGGAAAAGGCATACAAGCACCCAGAAGGCTCCTGACTGTCCTTTCCACGTAGCAGGGTCGCTCAGCCAAATTTCACTCTCTCTGAGCTCATGGACTAGGAGAAACCTCATCAAATTCCTTTGTGGAGACTGCACCTCTGTAGTGACCTGCCATTCTCATCTCTCAAGTTGAGCTGAGGAACAAAGACTATATGGTCCTCATTGAATTATGAAACTCACACATTTCTTATGGTTAAAATTAATCTGGGAAGAAATCTGGAACAGTGGCAAAGGAGCATGAGCTGGATCTTCTGAGTACTTCTCCCAGCTTCGACACTGCTTCACCGGGAGACTGTGGGTAGATCTCTGAGTTTAAGCGCCTTGTGTGTAATATGGGGATAATACCCATACCGATCTTGCAAGGGTGCTAAAAGTTAATTCTTGGATGTTTGTAAAGGGTTTTGAAATCTCTGATGCAAGGTGCTGTACACTCGGGGAAGCTATCTTATTAACTTAAACCATAGGATCCCTAGTTGCAGAGAAGCAATTTCCAGCACCAGAAGCTGGAAAGACACCAGAAAAAATATTGTTTTGCTCTGAAAGCAAGCTTTCAATTTCTGGATGGGAGTGTTTGAAATGCTTGCACATACGTGCCTGCCACGTGCACATTCATACCCCAATGTCACGGTAGTGTGCAAGCCCAGATCTGCATGGAGAACCACCTCCTCACCCAGCTATGACCCTGCTGCGTACAAGGGAAGGTCACCAGCCTTCTCCAAACTTTGATTTGCCCCGCAGTGGCCTGTGGGCTTGGTGTATCCACACAAGGGAAGGTAAAGGAGATGAACAAGGAAGTGGGTCAGCTTGGGGTGGAGCTGGTGGACCCACACAGTAAGAAAAAGTTATGCCATTTCGTGTGCTCTTCTTTCTGATGTGAGATAAGCCCCCATATCCATTTATCAACCTGGGAAGCTCCTGGTTGATGAAACGGTTCCTTGGAAGGGTGCTTTTAGGGTACACAATTTGCTAGGGGCAAGAAGGGAAGGGCAGAACATCCTAAAGTGGGGATAGCCCTGCAGCCTTTTTCCAAGCAGAAGAAGCAGGGTCTAGCTCCTGGACAATGGAGCAATGAAGGAAGAAATTTGCCACATAGAAATGCTCTCCCCCAAGACCTTCAACTTCTGGTTTTGTGCAGAAAATATTACACCACAGCATTTACAATAATATTCAGCAGTTCAGCACTCCCCCAAAGAGGATTAAAACTTATAAGTACACTTTGCTGTTAAGTTACAGATCAAAGGTGTTGCTGTATTGGGTCCATCTAACAAGGTCTGCTTTTAGAAGTAGATGATAATCAATATTAGCAACCTTTCATTGAAATGCACCAAGTAGCTGAAATTTATTTGGGGGAGAGGGAAAGAAAAAGGGGATACATTGCCTTTTTTATCCTTGCAAAATGACCAGTCTATTCTGTGACGCATGAGATTGCCACACTGCCAGTGAAAAAAAGTTCTCACAACCAGACATACATGGCCATAGTAGCACTTCAATCAATTTATGACACTAAATTTTTGGGGTTTGGGGTGGTCTGGGATCTCTGGCTAAAAGATGCCATTATAAATGAAAGCTTTTGCTGCATTTAATTTTGCATGCCTTGAAAAAGAAATGAGAGATAGAAATGTTTCAAAGGAGTTTGACTCAACGGTGGACCTGAACTTGAATTTCATGCCATGCAATCTCAGGGCAAGAACATAAACTTCTCTCTATTAATGCATTCCTCCTAAATAAAGTTAGTTGCAACATATAACAAGAAAAGATCTAGGTAAAGCTTGGAGCTGTCGAGTCAGATCTGAACAGGTGCCCGTTTTGATATTTCCACGCTGACACTGAAGCACATGCGATATCCATAGAACAGGCTGGTTTAAAAGTGAGTTAACAAAGTCTTGATTGTTTTTACAGAATTTTTAATCTGTTTTTGTATTCGCTTTGGACCCATGTGATGCCCTGACACCGGTCATGTGATATCAGCTGCGATAGGCACAAATCCCTGGGCAGCAACAAAAGAAGAAAGAGTAAAAAAGAAAAAGCTGAGAAAAAGCTTGCAATTTGGAAAAAGGCCAATTGTACCCTGGCGAAGGCCTTTTTGATCAGTGAAATGACACATGTGTGCAATATTAATAGCAGTTGATGCTGATATTTTATTTGTTGGCCATCAGCTTTTAAATTCTTGCGCATGGAGCTGAAACAGGTTCTTCCCAGGCAAGCAAAATAAAGATGAATTGCCATATATAAAAAATTTAAATAACTCTTTTCAGCAAATACAGTACCATTAGCACATTACTTAATTTGTTCTTTTCCCTTGGTGGAAGGATGCATGTGAAACACTTTCAACAAAGAAAAACTGAGTGTTGTTACTGCAGCGATATTGCAAACTAAACTCACGTTTACAATTTCTAAATAAAAAATTTAGAAAAAGCCTTTCTTAAACACAGTTTCACTCTGTAAAACCCTGCTGCTGCTGGGGTTGTTTTTGTTTTCACTTTCCAAGTGTAAAACAAGGATTTAATTGACTTGCTGCAAATGCTTGAAAATTAAAATTGGGAAAATATCTATGTTGTTCTTGGGGAAAAAAAATACCATATAGGTTATTTAAATGAAGCGAAAAACATGTTTGAGAACAAATCGATCCCACGCATGCAAACCCCTTATCTGAGCCAGTACAAGATGATGAAAATCTATAAATAGCCCACAGATCTTAAACTTAAATTTTTTTCCATAATACATGCATTACACTATTGTTTTCAATAAAAACAACAACAACAACAACAAAACCCTTTTAAAGCTAGTAAGTTGGACCATTACAAATTAATCCTGACTTTAATAACTGGTTAAAGACCCCTTCAGCTTTATAAGTAACAAAAAATATTAAAGCCTGTGATCACAGCGAGCTTTTCTCATTTCTCCTCTAACCATTTGTTATTTAATCCAATACTAGTAATCCAATTTGTCCATCAGACTTTTAAAGGGCAGAATGCAACTTCCCCAGCTTAGACACTTTTCAAAGTACAATATATTTTTCAAATGAATGCTGGATGTTTCATTTTTTCCCCAACTGTTCCTAGCTCTAATGTATGAGGAAAAAAAGAACAAGATGAACATTGTTCGTACTGATTAAGTAAGAGCTCATTAAAGAGCTGTCAGTGCCGTACTTTGAATATGCATGAAGCATATAATCAGATCTAGTACCGTCACTAGAGGAGAATACGGTAAGTACAAAGGATTGATTTAATTACTTAGAGTGGGCTGTGGTGGTAAAGCAGTCTTGTTAGCGCAAAAAGAAAAGGAGGTTGTATTCTGGCACGGTTAGGGGAAAAAGGCAGTTTTAGCTTCTGCCACAATACCTAATCTCAGGATAAAGCACTTTACATTGTAGCTTAAAATGAAGACTGTCAGTTTTCTAAAAAGACCAGAATTCATCTTATCTTGTTTAACCTCACCTGGTTAACTATCTAGCAGAACATATTTATTCTCTTTAACACATAATTATGCTTATACCTTTTTATCCTATAGCTCAATAATGACTTCTCAAAACAGCCTTCAAATAAGAGCGCGTAGTGCTGCAAACATCATATGCGTGCAAAATGCTCGGTAAGAGATTTGAAAAATGCAGAACCAGAAACTAAGACGAAACAGTAAGTACACACGCCTTTATGTAAAAAGACAATACAGCTTTTAGTGTTGGACTTTATTATTAGATAGGTTCTGAGGAGGATTCTGGCAAGGTTTCTCTAATTTATTTTCTTTTTCCCCTTTTCCTTTCTGCTTTCTTTTTTTTTTTTTTAATTTTCTTTTTTTTTTTAATCAATACATTCTTGTTTTATTCTTCCTCTAGGAATCCAGGGGAATTCTCTCACAGCAACTCTCAGTGCCATTTTCTAATTTCATTGTCTGGCTTGAGTGGTGAAGGATGCATGCCCTATTCTTCTCTTCACTTGACATCTACCAGAACCCTCCTCAATGATTAGGAACGAGCCAACTCCAAGCCTGGAATAGCATAAGACACTAAATTCTGCCCTCAGATACAAGAAACTCCTACCGACTTCTGAGTTATGATTCTGCACTGTAATAGCTCCTGCGCAGGATTCAATCAAGGCTGCAGCATAAAGTTTGGTGATTTTGTCCCTTACTGGGACAAATTTTAATGATAACCAAAATAATGATAGCCA